GTACTTCGTCGATCTGCCTGTTCTGTACCCTACTCTGTCTCTGGTGAATCCTCTCACCCTCCGTATCTCTGGCCTGTACCCCAGTTCTGTATGAATAAATGTTTTTTAAAAAAATACATGATTTATAGTCATTTCATAGCTATAAATATTTGAAATATATTACTTTGTTTACAGAAGAGGAAATTGATGTGTAACTCTGTTTATGTATTTTGTGTACATTTAACATTTTTGCACCATGCTAATTTTTTTGTTACGTTTCCTGCTTTTTTGATGACAAGACTAAATTTGTTATTCTAGTTGGACATTTTTTCTTTTCTTTTTTTTGCATAGAACTGGGGTGTAGGCCAGCAGTATGGGGAATGAGAGGATTCACTAGAGACAAAGTGGGGAGAATAGTGGATTTGTTCAGGTGGACCTACTGAAATACACTGCTAAAGGGAGCAGTGGACAAGACAGGAGAGGTCTGTTGTGCCTTATGTGTGTTAGTTCGCTGGCTGGAATGATGCCTTAATACCTATGCCACTGATACTTAAACCCTATGCTATCAGGGAAAGCCCGTGGACATTTTCTTTTAGACTGTATATAATGCAAAATATTTTCTCTGTGTTTTTAAATATTATTCTTTAAAGTAAGCTCATGCAGAGAAATACTTGTCCTACTCTTCCTTTTTTATCTTGTATTTCCAGGTATTTCTATGTTGTCTTCAGGAATGGTAGTCCTGCTTCTTTTGTCTGGCCACTTTCCCTATTCTTAAAGGTGGATCTCTCTTCCCTGCATTTTATCTCCATGATTTGGAATGGAAAATGAGCTCTTCTTTTTGCTCCAGAACTCAGATGCAACACAGAAACCCCTAGGATGCCGTGATTCTGCCAACTTCTACATGAAAAAAGAAGCAACTGATATGCCTTCTACTTGTTAAACTGGAAAGAAATTGTTTCGCAAGCAGCAGGCTGATGTTAAATTTGAAACAGGTGCTGAGATTATGGTGTTTGTGAACCTTTTACCTTTTGTTCCAAACAAGAAGACTAAAGTAAGTAGCAAGTATGGATGACATCAGGGTTTTGTTTTGTTTTTTAATGTCTTCCAGTTTCAGATATTACCATAATAAGCACAGCAAATTCCAAATATGTGTTCTAATTTAAAATGAAAGTGATACTAAAAAAATTACATTTATAACAATGAATCACGGTTCATCCTATAACAGATTTACTGGATGATAAGAACAACTTCTAATTCTGCAATAAAACCTTTGATGTGATAAAGAAGCATAAAGACAAGATAATATAAGGTTACTTTCATATGTGAATAAACCACAGTAACTGTAAATGTGTTTTTCAGTTAGAAATCCACATTTTTGAATGAGAAGAGGGAATTTTCTCTTGGAAAAGGAAGCTGTTCTTTCTCGGGAATCTTTGGACATTTGTTACTTTTTAACAGGCTTTTTTTTTTTTTTTTTCTTTTTTTTAAGAATGGACTACATTGTGCATATGCTAACCCTATGAATGCATGTGGGTTTAATGCAAGATTGGTAAAAGAAAACAAAACAGTTTTGAGCCCAGTGATGGACCTCATTCAACTCTGCAGGATAAGAGACTACATATTGCAAATTCATTCTTTTTTAAGGAGTCTTACCTAGAACTTGAGAGTTGGTTTTCCATGTTGCCGAGACTAGAAGAAAAGTGGTATATAGTGGTTTTCCTGTTGAGAAGATGTAATAGATCCTATGGTGTGGCCTGTCTTCAACTTTGGACATTAAAGGAGTATGGGAAAATAAGATATTACCTTTCTTCTAAGAAAAAGCAAAAATACCTACTGGATTTCCATCTGACTTTATGGCATTTCATATTCTATGGCTACAGTTTTTATAAACTCATAAGTAACTTTTTTTTTTTTTTTTTTTTTTACCAAAGATGGGTTCTTGAATGTTTGATTTATTTTTAAGGCAATAGGTGTATGTTAGGTTGAAAAAAGTGGAATTCAGGTAACTTTCTCCAGTGGAACTGAAATTTTGCATCCAAGAATGAACTTCAGCAACAATGTTTCCCAAATTTGTGGTTGGGTCATTGTAGACTTAGAAGAAATTCAGAGTCTAGAGTCTCAAAACAAGACAAAGGTTTCAAGAAGGAACATGAACTTCCTTAAAACTTACACCATATGAACTTGCTAGTGTAAAACTGTCCTGGCTTCCAGATCAGCAGAGGACCACTGTGTAAGCTGCCAGGTCTTTACATAGGAAGAATGGAATCTTTATGTCTTTGTAAGTAGAGAAAGAATTTAAATTTAGCTGAAATTCAGAATAGTCTTAGATCATCTCTGTGACTTAGGAAATGTTTGCCCAAGGCCATGTATGCTTTTATGCTGAAAATTTAATTCATAATTATTATTTGAGAGCGACAAGACATGTCCAACCAAAGGAAAAGTTGAGCATTCTTAGGGATTAGTCAAATTGACTGATAAGAAAATATAGTTTCCTGTGAGGGCAGTTACTGAATAGTGAAGCTCAGTGAAAAGAACTTTGGATAAAGATAAACTTTTAAGTGATTTCCTACCCACTTCCTGATGTTTTCAGTATTTTGAAATTGTTAAAGACAATGAAGCCTATATACATTACTTCCCTTTCGTGTGTTGAAAATATATTACGCAGAAATTTTTATTTCTCAAGTTACCTAATTTCCCCAATTGCTTTTGGCAACATTTTGGGTAGGGTCGCTTGGCAGGGAAATTGGGTACCTGTACTGTCATTGCCGGTGAAACCAGGTCTCGCCCACTTACTGAACATGTATCAGACAGCTTCGCTAGTTGCTTCATATTTTTTATTTCACTGCTAGGCTAACTACTGTTTACTGCTCTTTTCAAATTATTACTGCATTTTCCATGGCTGTCACCTGACAACATTAAACAAGTGAGTGTATTCCAATTGTATTTACCCAGTGTTTGCTTACTATATCTACATTTTTTTTCCTGGGGTCAGTTTTGTTCTCCTTGATGGCAAAAGCTATCACTTTGGGCAAGATGCCTCAATCTATAGCTGTGTCCACTTCCACTATTTTTGTTCATCCAGGTCAGCTGGCAGTTTTTCTTTTAAAAAGTTAAACAAAAACGGGGTATGTGCAATAGAAATATATATATATGTATATTTTAATACTTGTGGACAAATGTTACAAGTTGTTGAAGAACAACAAAATCACCAATGTCTTCCATTTTGAGATGTGTATAGTTTTGTAAGCATTAGTGCTTGGTAGCATATTGTAGTGCCATGTTAGGGATTAGTGCATGAACCTAGTAATAATTTAAACTTCAGGATGAATTATTGATAATCAGTGGTGTAAAAAGAGTGGAAAATTTAGACCTTTTTTCATAAATACCTAACTCCATTGTATTCTCCCTGGGGGAAGATTAAGGCCAAAAAAGACTCACTTATGAATAGAAATGTGGGGTCACAATGTAAAATACTGTGTTTTGAGGATATTTAAGCTTTCCATGAAGTTACTGGATACCAGTTGGCTTTGTCTTGTGAAATCCCAAATCAAAACAAGACCCCGTATCATGATTCTGCTTTGCTCTTAGTTTTAGGTAAAATTTTTCTTATGTTATATTCACATTGTATGTCCTGTAGGTTTATTATTTTCCTACTTTTATATCAAGAAATTATATTTTGCATGTCTTACTGAGATGCTGTGTTAATTGCTTATGTCAGTCTTAATGTGTAGATCATTTAGTTTTCCTACCTGCAGCATGCTACATGTTAATGGGAGAACACTGCTCAGTAGTTTTGTGTCCTAGGTTAACTTGTCATGGGCTCTTCTACTTCCAAGTATGTGGGGTTGTATATTGATGGAATTCCATACTTATTAATTAATGAGATTGGAAACACAGCTAGATGGCATCAACCTAGGTTGCCATATGTAATTATCTAGTTCTTTTGCTTGGATATAGTAAGCCACCTCAGACAGCTTTCACTTTTTTCTATTTTCTTTGTAGAAATAAAAGTTGTTTTGTTCTGAAAGCATAAGATAGCTTTATATAGAAAAGAAACTCCTACCTACCTCTAAAAGCTGCCTTGAGAAATTGGAAATGGCAGTTTTCTGAGGTGATTTTAGAATGTTAGAGTACTAGAGTTCAGGATTTATTACAATTTTACAGTTAGCATAACAGGAAATGCAAATCTGTTAATGTGGTGTATGTGCAGAGGCAAGTTTAAACAAATAAAACTCTCAGACAGCAGATCTCCAGGGACCCAGGTTTAGATTATCATAGTGTATTTAAAATAGTTGTACTCTTAACTCAAGTAGCTTAGTGCCTGGAAGAATCCATTTCTGAAAAGCATTTGAACATTTAAAAAAATACCTCTGAAAAGGTAATGAATACAAAATAGCACAGTATATATAGGAAAGGATATTTCCTTTTGCAAAAAAAAAAAAAAAAAAAGCCATAAAATGAACCGATACTTTTCAAGAGGTAGAATATTAGTAGCAATAACAATTTTGTATATGTAATAAACTGAATTAGCAAGGTTGTACAGTAGAGTATTACTACTTGAGTTTGTGGGACTTTGTGATCAACACAGTCACACAAAAGGAAAAAGATATTCTAAGAGCATATAAAAGATACTTTTAAAGCTATGAATGTATTTGGGAATATCATTGTGTGAGAAATACCAACTTTTGGTAAATTAAAGGATAAAGACCCTGTTTCCTAAAGCAGAGGGTTAGAGCCTTTGAACTAAACTTTTCTAGTGCTTAATCTGGAAACAAATGTACTCCTACTGATGTAGCCCCATTGAAGCCATGGTATCTGGGTTTTACTTATGTTTCTTTTAGCATCAGGCATTTAAGAACATAAATTTTTGTTTTGTTTTCTCCTTCCTCCATTAATTTTCTGAGTGCATTATTTTTAAAGGGAGAAGTTTGTTGTGTGTGTGTGTATAATTAGGGTGTTTTTGTTTTTTTTTTTTAAAGTTCAGAACTTATATAACTGGCTTTTTTTCATACCTGTGACTGGTAAATTAGGGGAATTAGTATTTAAATATGTAAAGCAAAAGGATTAAAGGGGATAATAGCCAAATGCAGTTTTGGTTTTGTTGATTTTGTTCAGTTTTTCTAATCTTGACTAAACAGATGTTCCAAGGTCTGTGGCTTTTGATTACTTAGTTTAATGAAAAATTTTATCTGCAGAATCACACAACTCATATCAGGATATTATAGTGGAATGAGGATGTCTTCTTACTCCCTTTTACCTCTTATTAATCTTGGCCATTTAGCACCTTGAAGATCTCTGGAAAAAGATGATGTCTGTGTTTCCTTGCTTTTCCAGGGAGGTAAAAAAAAAAAAAAGAGTAAATCTAGAGAGATGGTGCTTTTTGAGTATTTTTGATAGGGCAACTCCAAATGATAGGATTCATTATATAGCTCTTTTAAATGTCCTGTGCCACAGGTTGGTACTGAAGACATTGAAATAACCAAGCAATATTCAGACATCTGCACAATCATGAGAACACCACCATGTTACGATGATTTCAAAAGCATGGTTACTTGAACAATGACAGATCGACTTAACAGCCACGTTAATAGTTCTAAATGCTAAAATGTGCTACAAGTTTTTGTTGTCTCGACATGTGCTGTTACTTACTAATTATTAATTCAATGTGTGGTCTCATGTTTACTTTTTGTGTACCTGTGATATGTAAAATATGAAGAGACCCTTGGCCTCCAGGAGTTTACATTTTCATGGTGCTTCTGATGCAAGCAAATTGCTTCTAGTTTATTCAGAACATTGCTTGGCTATTGATTATACCATATTTGGGAGGATCCCTTGGCCAACAGTTTTCAAAAGCAGAGGGCTATGATAAATTTCAGGGCATTGATTTTGAGTTTACAATGTATTAGTTCTGCTGTTCATAAACTACTTCTCCCCAGGGAACTGTGCAGTTAATGCTCATTAATATGATTCAGAAATTCTGCCTACGAGTGTCTTCACCATCCCTAAACCAATGTTGGTCTATGCTATAGCTGTCAGTAAATGGCCAGGAAACTTAAATGCTCCAAAAGACTGTACATCTATCTTTCTTTCTTCACCCAGAGTTTTTACATCATCCTCTATTCAAAGGACCAGGATTTACAATTAAGTATTTTGTAACTCAATAGTGGTCCTAAATCTTAACCTTTTTTGTGTGTGAATTTTGTACCTATATTCTAATGCAGCATTGTGATAGACGTAGAACACTTGCCTGCATTTCTGAGCAATTACTTTCTTAATGCACATTTTTGGTTGAGATTTTGCATGTATCATTATTTACCTTAACTTCTCTGAATCTAGAGGTTTAATCTGCATGTTTATTAAATCTGGGTCTGGTTCAGAATACAAGCAATAGTGGCAGGCCCATAATTCTGATCTTACCAATATCCTAATGCATGATTGAAATTGTTCAGTGTACTGTGGTTACTAGTGATTATACATATGCATTTATTAATAATGAAGCAATAGAGACTTATACCAATAGCTTGAATTTATTATTTGAATTTCTCTCTAATTAAAGATGATCTTACTTCCATTATGGGATCTTAACAGGGACAAAGACATTCAAACTATCAGGAATAGAGCATAATAATGCTCACCTTCTAATCTCTTGCCTGTTTCCATTAGTTCCCCAAGCATGTTTAAAAACAAAAGGCACAAATTAAGCATGTTGAATTCATAAATAAGCTGCTATCGCGCTAATAATCAGAAAGGTGTAGAGTTTCAGAAATGGTAGGAAAGTAGGGAATACAAATGTGGGGCATGAAAAATAATCATATATGGGGTTTGTGTGATAATATTTTAGGTGGCCTAAGGTTAGATCTCTTAAAACTGCTATCTCAGAAGTAAATAGAGGTGATATACACATATTTCAGATGTTCTCCAGGATTTTCAGATAATTATGCTGTTGTGGATAGTACTTTTATCTGCCAGTCATGAAAGATCCCTGCAGCTAAGGAGACTGGCCCATTTTGTGGAAATAGTCATGAAAATAGACATATCTGTGATTTGGGTTTTTGTTTTTGTTTTTAAATTACACTATTACATTAAATTAAAGGTTATATTTGTGGTCTCTTTCGTTTAGCCATCGTTTATTCTTGATATTTTGATTAGACTACATCACTTGTTACCTAAAGTTTTTGATAGTCCAGAATCAGTAGCAATTTTCCCTTTTTGGGGAAACAAGAAAAACCTTGCCTTTTGTATTTTTATTCGATTAAAAGGTCAGCTTGTTGATGTAACTCAAATTTTTTCTTGAAGATTCTTGACTAGATTAACCCTGGTAAAGTTATGACAAATAATATACAAATGGAATTAATTGTCTGAATGAGGTCTACAGTGAAATTCAGGATTAAACCAATTTCATGTTCCCAGAGTTTTTATTCACGAAAATTATTTTTCCAAAAATTAATCTCCTTTTCTTTCTGTGGGATTTTACCGCAGATCCCTTTGGTGATGTTCAAGTGGTATGGTAACATTCTGGGGGTTTAGAATTGAAATAGACCTTCACTTTGGTATCCACTCAAATACAAAAAGTGAGGTGTCATCCCATTTGTAAATTTTCTCTTTGCCACTTAAGATAATGTATCTGTCAATGAAAATAGATTTAAGGAGAGTCACTCTTTCCAATAATTCTACTAAGGTATAGAAAAAATATTAATATTGGAAAACCAAGCAGCTTTCTTCAAGAATGTATCCATACTCCTAAACACCTTAAGTCAGGATATCTTAGTTACTCCAGCTATCAAAAGATCATGCTTGCCTTGGTTATGGGCCATTTTTCTCCCACAGATGAGGATATCCCTGAATATTTTCTCATCAGCCCTTTAAAAATAATAGTGGTTTTTATGTTTACCCTAAAGCTACCCAACACTTGTAATGAAGATATTAATGTTCATTTAGTTACTCTCCTGTAAGCACAGGAATCTGTCAATGTTCTTTCTTGCTGTTCTGTATCCTCCACTGCACCATTGATAATGTTAAATTTTTTCACTGAATGTTTAAAGTATAAAAGGCAGCTTGCTCTTTAATCTATGCATCTTGGAATTTTAGAAGTTTTAATTCTTTGTTGTAAAAAGGAAGTACTTTATGAGATGGAAACTCTGCACCTGTGTGTATGTGTGTGTGTGTATTTTGGCAATAAAGCAGCATGGGCTGAGGATGCACTGAAATGTCACTGTGTTGTTTGTTACTCAGAATCGGTCATTTATAAAGACGTAGTAAATTATGGAAATTATCCTGAGTTGAAGGTGACCCAGAGGTTGGGGGAAAAAAAGACCCCAGGTTTCTTGAAACCTAGTTGTGGCTATTGCTGGTGTATGTCTAGGAAAATAGGCAGCCATTGGAGAGAGAGGCACCCCACTTAAATTTAGCCCATTCTACAGTTTTACTTTGGGGGTCAATATTATTTATAATAGGTTTATAATGTTTAGTTTCTGGTAAAGATCTAGTGAGCAACATACAACAATGATAACAAATATTACGGGAATCTTTTCCATCTGGAATATATATAAAGCATTTAAGTTGTTTCTATATTTAATATTAAAATATTAGCTTAATCAAAGCAGTTTTAAAACTAGAAGAGATCCTTTTTGATTTAGAGGAAAAAAAAGATTTCAAGTTTGAGAAAGTAGATGTTAAGTCTTTAAAATTGGCTGTTGTCAAATGGATAAACAAAGACTTTTTGTCAGGAGTAGTAATAATACTACTCCTGATACTTCATTTATAATTATTTACTGTTATTGGGCTAGATACTGAGTTCACAAAAACATGGTTTCTGCTATTCATCAAGGTCTTCAAACGTTAGTATTGTGTACCTTTAGTATTCAATTCCATTGTTTTTATTCCCACATGGAGTTTTGAAAGTAGTGTTAAATGGTATTCAAATTCTTAAAGTATCTGTAGAATCTGTTCATCTCAGCTAATTTGTCAGTTATGTTGGTCTTTCAAGAGAGATTTTATGGCACCTAAGCTTGTTAAATATACAGAAGGCTGAATATAAAACTTAAGTGCACATGCCTTTTGACTGTCCCATTTGAAGAATCATTTCTATACAAAGACCTGTGCAGATATGCAAAGGATCGCTTTTAAAAATGGCTAAATTGTGGCTCTCCCTGGTGGCGCAGCGGGTTAAAGCACAGCACTGAGAATCTAAAGCTGCTTTCACATGAGTTCGATTCCCGCCTGCCC